AGCCTCATATGTGAGAGCTGAAGAGTGAATAAAGAAGACCGAAGAAGAGTTGATGCTTTTGAGTTGTGGTGCTGGCGAAGAATGCTGAAGGTACCATGGACTGCCAAAAGAACTAATAGATCTGTCCTGGAGGAAGTACAGCTGAGATGCTCCTTGGAAGCAAGGATGGCCAGACTTCGTCTCACCTACTTTGGTCATGTTGTCAGAGGGAATCATTCCCTGGAGAATGATGTCATGCTTGGTAAGGTGGAGGGTTGACGAAAGAGGGGAAGGCCTTCGACAAGATGGATTGACACAGTGGCTGCGACAGTGGGCTCAAGTATAGCAAGGATCATGGAGCTGGTGTGGCATTGGGCGGTGTTTCGTTCTCCTGCGCTTGGGGTCGCTATGAGTTGGAGGCGACTTGATGGCACCTAACAACAACAACAAGATCTGTTATATTTAAAGTGGTTTTATGCCATATTCCGTGTTACCTACCTATATGCTTATCTAACTGATCATCTTAAGTTTTAGATGTGTCAGTGTCAGTTTTATATGGGGGAAGGGCATGATAATATAAAAGCCACATTCCATTCTCCTTGTACTGGCCATCCATGGAAAATGACTTAACCACTCATAACTAGTTTTAGACACGTGGTTAGCATTATTGCTAGGTATGTATAAGGATGGATTATCTAATAAATTCAGTTGATGATTTTAGTTTTTCAGGATATACAAATCTTGGTCTGACAGTCATTGCAAATAATATCAAAATGTTGATGAGAACTTCAGAGATAAACAGTAATCAATTAGGTATAACCCAACAAAAATGTATGAAACAGAAATCTAGTTTTAAAATCTATAAATTAGGGCTGATTACAGGGGGTTAATTAAAAATATATTTTTGGAAAATGTTTCTGTTTTGTAAACTAGGATATGTTCAGTTTAGTGGAAAATGAGAACTAAGCAAGAGAAAAAGAAGCATGTTTAGTATGTTTCCTGGTATAAGCAAGGAGCCTGTGCTTATATTCTTTCATGCTTAGAGCACTGTTGAGAGTCATGCTTTTCCTATAAGCCAAAAACACTGCCATCAAGTTGATTGTGACTCATGGCAACTCTATAGGACAGAGTAGAACTTCCCATAGGGTTTCTAAGGCTGTAAATCTTTATGGAAGCCCACTACCTCATCTTTTTACCAGTTCAAACTGCCAGTCTTTTGGTTGGTAGCTGGATGCTTTAACCACTGAGCAACCAGAGCTCCTTTGCTTTTTCTGTAGATATTAAAAAA